CAGCCTCGCCCTGCTGGCGGACCTCCTGGGACGGACTCGCGGCCGCGTCCAGCGCGCGGAGGATTTCCTCAGCCATCGACATCACCCCGCCTCTCCCTCTCGTACGCGCTTTTGAGGTGTGAAATTGGGCTACAAAGGAGCGAGCACAGTCCCCACCACCGCTAATAACCACAACCCGGGGGGGACGAAAATGGAATGATGGAGAGACTTGTGAAGGGAAATTTGAATCTTTCTGGCTCTCAAAAAGCAATCAACTGAAAAAAGAAGGAGGTCAAATAGCACACCACATCCCTCGCGGAAGTACCACCACCACACCAATGACTTCCTTTGGGGGCTCGCATGTACTTCATAAAGTAGTAAAAATAATGAATGTCATGTAATGATAATAATAATAATAATAATAATAATAAGCAACAATTAAATTAAGGTACTCTTACAAACCTGAAAACAATAAATAGCGATCGACTCCTTTCTTCTGTTTTTTGGGGAGTGATCAAAATATCTGAAACAAGACACAGTTACTCATTTTTAAAAATGGATGGAAACGGAAGCTAATAAATTATACGAATAGGTCGTGCTCTGGGGTTATTTACCTAGGCTTGTCTTTTATTGCTACTCCTCCTTCCACTTTTCTCCATCCAAGCTCAAATGAATCAGAATAGCGACATCAATAAACTGTCCAATTTAAAAGTAAAACTGGGGGTTCCTCCACAAGGAAAAATGTGACCGTGAAAAACTACCACTAAGACAGAAACAAAGACAAAATTGCATAAAAGACATATTAAAGAGGGTGTAGAACGACTCACTAGACTAGAAATCCCCCCCGTAGGGTACAAATTGAGATTTATTATTCCTTAGGTTTGTTGGGTCCTTACGGGTACAAATAATTATTCCATGATAATTAGAAGAGCAGCAAAAATGGAAAAAATACAACAATATAATGAATAAAGATCCTAAAGTATTGAGAATAAAATAATAGAATCCGAAAGGTTGACCCAAAATGTTGATGCAATAACTCGATCAAATCTCAAATGCAGAAAAAATGACAGTTTTATCTTTTAGATAGCAATCTAGTGTCTTCCCCTCAAAAAAAAAGGTGTCAGTGGTAATATTGCTTCAATTGCCATTGTTTTAGTTTTCTAGGATACATAGAAATCATAGAGACTTCTTTCCTTACATATTTTCATCTTATTTCATGCACAAAAACGCAATGATAATAATTAACAGTGGATAATCAATTGATAATGATGTTAAACTGAGGTGAAAATATTATGCAATTAAAAAATAAGTAAACACAAAATGAATACAATCCCGATTTAAGTATATATATATATATAGATATATACTAAAAGAATATAAAACAAATATATTTAATGACTTTATACATGCTAGTTTATATTTTTGACAGGCTCAATAGGTTTACATACATTATGTCAACAGAAGGGATATGAAGAAATACAGATCGATATAAAACGCACATACACATCCAAGGCATTCATGCATTCAGAAGTCATATTTGCCTTTCGGGTTTGACTAATAGCAGAATGAACGCGTATTTTTAGTTAAATTTCAGGCTCGAGGGCAGAGATTAATAAGTAAAAAGGAGCAATTAAATATACATATAGTTAATTTATTTATTTGATTTTCGGAAAGGATTTCTAGCAGAAATGACACTAGTTATAAAAGGCAAGGATACACAAAATATGGGCCTGGATACCTTGTGGAAGGTATAATTTTCATTTAATGGAAAAGTAACGTTGTGTAAGTTGAAAAGTCCTTCCATATCATTATAGTTATAGTGATTAATATTAATGTTACTATTATGTTATTATAAAGAAAAATAAGAAGATGATATCCCGAATAGCAAATTAAAAGCATTACGAAAGGTTTTTTTTTTAATGTGTCTTCATCTACTGGTACCATGGCATCAAAAAGAATAAATAATATCTAAATATTTTACATTAGTAGCAACGCGAGAAATGCTCACTAAATAATGCATTTCATTTCGAATGAAAGTGCTTTTCTTTTGCTTGAGTATTTCTAATTATCCCAAAAAATCTCATTGTGTTTTTTTGTTCAATTTTATACTTAAAAGAAATGAATTCTTGCTCAATGAATGAGGAAACGCTAGGAAGGGTAGTGGGAATGGGAAAACAAAGAGGTTTCTAAATAATCGCACAAATATCTAGGAAACCACAATCCTACCGCTTTACCAAACCCCTTTCACAACGCCTCCCTCACACCATTTTCACTACCTTTCTTTTGTCATCTTTGTTAGTCCTTTGGCTCTATTTTTTTTTTAATGTGCTGTCTCCACAGCTAAGCTTCATCCGGTAAAGGTGAAACCCCAAGAGAACCTTCCCCGGTGTTTTTCATTACCTCCCATAACGTCGACTTCGACCGATGACGTCTTGTTAGAATGTTTGGTACATCTTTCCTCGACGACGCTAATTGCTGCTGGATGTTTTTGTTCTTGCCATCGTGTTTTCTTTCCTCAAATACCCCTCGCTTTACATCTTTAAACGTTCTTGACAATTTACGACACACCGCGGTATCACTGATGCGCATCTGCCCCGATTCAGAGCATCCCCTTTCACCATACCCATTTGGTGCCCTTTGCGAGGCACTTTTGATCTTGGGGGTACGCGATATTTCTTTCATGAAAGCCTCGCTGCTCTCAATGGGGGGGTTGACTTCAATTCTGGAGCCAAATAGCGACGAGCCAGATCCGGCGCGACTTCCCGTGAGTTCTACCGTATCCACAAACTCCGACCGTCCTCTTTTCGTAATATCCTGACCGGAATCCAACGAGATGTCGCGCGATATTTTATTATCGTCGGAATAAGACTGCAAAGGAGTCTCTACCACTACCGTTCCCCCTCCTTTTTCCCCCCTATCCAGTGAGGGACGCATGGATAAAAGCGCCATGCTGTTCGGATAAGAAGCACCTTTGCTATTTGTATTCATTTCGGGCAGACATTTCATCGTGATATCGAGATCCGTGTTCGGGGTCGTAGTTGGGGTGATAGTCGGAGTTATTTTATTATACATCGAACTCTTTTGTGAGCCCCCATCGCACAACGAAACGAAGCTAAAGCTGTTCGACCGCATCGACTCGCTCTGAACATTGACGATGGAGAGAATGGCATCTATAGACTGAAAGGCCCCGTTGTATAGCGCGCGGCTAGTTTTTTTTGTCACCGGAACAAAATTCTGCTGCGTTTGTGATACCCACGGGCTCACCGAATGCGTTCTCTTTAGACTATCCGCAACCTTCTCCCAGTTCTGAATATTCCCGTTGCGGCTCGCACGTTCAATACTCGACCCCGACGAGAGCGCCATGATCCCGCGATTGTCAGTCATAGAGAGGTTGTGCATTTTCAGAAGATCTTCGGAAGCCTTGCCGGAGATGAGGCTATCGGTAATCCCCCCCTCCGACCTGGGGAAGAAGTCCGAGGCTCTAAAATACTGGTTCTTATTCACCATCCGACTTCGGATGGACTCGACAAATTTCCTCACAATCCTCTTGGTCTTGTCGGAAACCTGCTTAGCCGGTCTTGTCATGACCTCGATGCCCTCACTGTGTGCGACTTTCTGCATGCACTCTTGTCGAATTCCCGTCGATCGGCAGAACCCAGAGGACTTCAACGTGTTCTCCGATTTTGGTGAAGATGTGGCCTCGCCGCTCGGATTCCCTGTGCGCTCGCTCGCGAAGTTCGTAAAGGGTGGGACATTAATAACGGAAGTTCGCCGGCGCTCCGCCCTTGCTTGGCCCTCGGCCTCGGCACGCGTGGCAAGCTTGGACTGGAAGTCCGCGCTGTCGAGAAATCGCTTAAGCTGCGAGAGTCCCCACCGCCGCGAGGGGTTCTTCTCGAGCAGCCCCTCGAGGATGATCCGCCACTCTGGCAGGAGGCTCTCGCCCTCAAGGTTGAACCCATTCCACGGGAACGCGCAACAGCGGATGTTCGCGCAGACGTCGCGGTAGGAGTTTCCACTAAAAGGGACGACCCCGACAAGCATGCAGTAGAGGGTGATGCCGAGGGCCCAGTTGTCCGTCCGGTACGGATCCACCCCCGCGAGGTCGAGGGTCGGGTCGAGCAGTTCCGGTGCCGTAAAGAGAAGGGTCCCGCCGCCCAACCGCGCGGGGGCGGCCCCGGAGGAGGCCGTGGTGGTAGACGATGAAGCCCTCCCGCCGCCGTGCCGGGAGCTAGGGGGTTCCAACAAGCCCCCGCCCGGGTGCGGGGCGAGGATCTCGCTCACGCCGAAGTCGGTGAGGTAGACCCGCCCGTCGGCACCAAGGAGGACGTTGTCGGGCTTCACGTCGTGGTGGACGACGTGGCGGTCGTGCATGTAACGGAGGCCGCTCACCAGCTGGCGCAGGTACCGCGCACAGGTGGTCTCGCGGAGGGGCCGACAGCTGTACATGGAGGGCTCGGAGTGGATCTCGCCCTCTGAAAGCGGGGTGTCCCCGCCCGAGTCGTGACGAATGCAACAGCGGATGAGGCCACGGTTGTAGTGGATGCCGTTCACCCGGCTGTTGGACTCCGTGGCAAAAAGCATCGCAGGGAGGAGTCTGTGGTGGCGAAGGTGCACCACCGGGCCGTTCGGGACGTAGTCCATGATTAGGTACAGCTTCTGTGAGGCCGGGTCATCAATGACTTCGTAGAGGGAGACGCAGTTGCGGTGGCGGACTTTTTTCATGATGGTGATCTCCCGCATCAGGGCGTTGTCCCCGCCACCGCCGCCCCCCCCATTTGCGGTATTCCAAGTCCCAAACTTATTCTGCAGGAACTGCTTGTCGATCATCTTGATCGCTACCTTCTTTCCAGAATCCATCTCCTCCGCGAGCTTGACCTTCCCATACGAACCTTCCCCAATGTTCGCGAGTAAAACATAGCGATTAATCGTTCGATGCCCTTTCTTGTCAAAGGCCACAGCGACTTGCTTCGTCTCGTACACAGGAGGGCACATCAGGCTCGCCGTGCTCATCACCGAGGCCATACTGTTTGACATATCGTCCTCATTCGTGTTAGGCGAATTCCTCGAGAAGGATGCTAAGACTTTCAGCTGCTCCCGGACGCTGCAGATTTCCTCCATAATCTCTATTAACGCGAACATCAAGTTACCAATATTATGAGATTCATTGGCGTTCAAAAATTGTCTTAATTCCGTCTCTTTAGCAGCTTCCGTTGGGGAACTAAGGTAGGACTTTAACCCATGCTTCGTGAGGGTATGCATAAAGCATTTAGAGGCCTTGATGACAGCATCCACGGCTAATTTTGAGAGGTTGTTCAGCGGAGGGCGAGGATTAGGCAAAGAAGAGCAGGAGAGAAGGCTTGTCTTCATGTATTCGGCAGAAGAGCTACCGAGTTCTGCGTTGTTGTCGGAATTATCTAAGGTCAGACTTGGGGTCTCCTCGCTCGCCATGGAGGTCCCAAGTTCACCAAGTAAATCATCAATGAGTGGGTTATGCACGGAGGAGAACTTTGGTACTTGATAGTGAGGTTTCAGAACCTCGTTGATCGATTTTCTATTAAGTTTAGCACTCCGTGAGGCAGGAGCACAGGTCGGTCCATTACGAAGCCCAACAGCCGCCGTGGCCTTAATTGATTTTCGTTTTGCCTTCATGATTTCAATGGCTTCCCAGCGTCAAACGCACCAGCAAGCGAGGAAATAGATTTCCTCTTTTGTCTTTTTTGGTTGATATTGTGCACGTTCTGCAAGTATAATTATTGTTAATTTACAAGTCCTTATAAATATGTTACAATTCAAATATGTAAAATGAGCACCTCAGCTGTACACGCACAGTCCAACGGACAATACTAAAATGATAAAGCAAAAAAATATATAGATTGCCAAAGGTACAGACAAATTTAAAATTAATAAAAAAAGCAACAACACGCTATATAAGACTATGTTCTAGTGATATCAAACTTTTGAGATAAGTAGACAAAACAAAAAAAACAGACCAGAAAACGCGAAAAAAAACTTATCAGATAATATCCTTTATTGTGCCAATTTTTAAAAATATTTACTTGTTCTGTCAGGATATCAACTTTTCAAAAAAAAAAGAAACAGGTTTGTAGACTAAATTAAACTGAAAAAAAACCTACAAGTGAGTTTTCCTGCAGAATATGTTACGTGGAATTTCGTGCCCTTTGTTACCCAATAAAAGGGTGACGTTGTGGTGAAATAAAAATGGCCAGTTATGTAGTTTAGCCACGCAAAAAGGTGAAAATGGAGTAAAGTCTTTAAATTGTTGGAATATTTTAATATACGGTTGCGAATTGGATATCTGCAAAAGTGTGAATATACTAAAAGACTTTCCTTCTCCTTCTTACTCGCTTTATATGTGAATTTGAGAGAGATAAAAGGAGGGGGAGATGGCATAGTAAACTATTTAATAACATTAATGATAATCATGTAAATATGATAGTGAAGTAAAGTTATATATTTTGTGATAGTCTTTTCTGTTTACATATTTTCTCTGATAACTATTAGCAATTGTTTTTTATCGGTTCAAGAACCTTTGATGTCTCACTCGACAGTTTTTTCAAAGAAAAATTCAAACAAAAAGCAAGCACAGAAATCCGAATCCTTTCCCAAGATATTTCTTTTTTCAAGAGTCCTTTTGCGGAATGGCTAATATTCTTTATTCCCCAGAACGCTTTGTCAACTATCATTATGCGTATCCTTGTGACTATCACCGACCTGAGGTTCTTCTTGACTATCATTAACGTGATCCCAAGTGGGATCCACGCACTTTCGATATGCCGCGCTTAGCTTTCCTGCCAAAAAATGGTTATTGTACTTTACAGCGATTGCAAACATCCTTTCAAAGTTCTGCCGAGCGATCTCACGGTCTTCTGGGGTTTTTAACGGCAAAAATAGGTTACTTTGGGAAGAAAAGGGAGAAGAGGTGTTCTTCAAACGGGGCCGTAGATGGTCAAGGCCTAATATGCACAAAGCCTCCAGCGAGCTCATCGGCGGGCGATCAGGATGCGAGACTTGTGGATAAGAACCCTCAGACCCATCCATAGACTCCTCACGTTCAATATTCTTTTTTTCTGTATGATAGGCTATGATAAACGCTTGCCCGATGGCGAAGCTCGCCAACATCAAGAGACGCATAAGCTGTGGGGGAATAAATAAATTTATGCGGGTACTGCGGAAAAGCCCTGGTGAGATGTGTGGATTACAGAAAGGGTAAATTATCATTCCATCGGTCTTTACCAATGAGCGCTTTTCAGGTAAAAAAGAGCAACGAAGAGGAGAGGTCGTATGCGGTTCTTGCCTAGAATTGAGTTTGTTGTCAATATATGAAAATATCGCTAAAATAGGTGCATTTGTATTCGTTTGAGAAGACAACGAGCTTGACCGAACGCGGCGGAAGGCACTCAAAGCCCAAGGATACATTGTTCAAACCTTCTCAAAAGGAATTTTGTATAAAATGTAAAATATAAAGAAAATGAAAAATCGAAGATATAGTGATGAAACCATTCCCCCTTTCGCACTTAATATGATCAATCATTAGCAAATGGATTTTTTTGAGTTTTTTATTTTATTTTTCCTTTTCCTCGTCGATTAAGGTTTGTCAATCCTTCCCCACGTTATATGAATTCTTTTGATTTCCCATTCATCGAATGTAAACTCAACGCCCTCCCCTCAAAAAAAAAAAACGGTTTCAAGCAATAAAAAGGTACCCTCCTTCTTCATTTATGATAAATCCGCGATCATGATGTTATGTTGCCGCGTTTGCTCTTCCTTCCACTCCTCAAACTCGGAATTATTCATCTTCATAAAGGACGCGATGACTGATTTTTTCATCCGAAATGGGTCGTAGTTCGGACTCGATAGCGAGCGATGGGCCTCAATGTATATTTCGCGTACATAATCTAAAAGCTCCTCTGTGCGCTTATACAGCGCCGTGGAGGCCTTAGAATGGGCAAGAGCGGCATCGCGGACCTGGCCATACCGCCTCTCCGCGCGAACCAAACGATGAACAAGGAAGCGATGCCATTCATGTAAAAAAGGCAGCGTCCGGCGCTGGGTGATGGGGACCTCACGCAGGAAGGAAATTAATTCGCACATCCAGTGCCGAAGCTCATCAACGGCATCAGTGAATTCGCCGAGGAGGTCGAACCCCTCACGAGGGTTGAACAAGCGGTCCTCCCATTCCTTCAGCCCCTTCCCGTCGTTCTCGCGGTCATCTATCTCAACCATTCGCCGTGACCAGACGGGGTTAGCTGTGGTGATTGCGCGCTCCGGCCAGGGATCCTCCGGTAAGAAATTCCTCAGCCCGAGCCCACCCATCTTTGACCCGCCCTTTATCTCCACCTCCTCGTCATACATAGGAAAGATACGGCGAAGATGCGGATCTGGGGGAAATGGCAGGTACTTCGATGCGCATTCCTTCGCACCTGACGGCTTTCGCCCGTACTCCGCCTCATAAATCCGCTCCTGCGTGCGTTTGTAGATGAAATCGGTGTTCGGTTTCTCCCCTTTATCCCGCAAATGAATGGCTTCGTTGACGATGTCGCCTAAGATCGTATCTACCGAACGAAATCGACGCTTCTGACGCCTTCGCCGCACAGAAGCAAGGGTTTCATCTCCGTTCTCCTTATCATCCTTCGCATTCCGTTCGGGGTTGGCTCCCTTTTCCCCCTTGTCGTTTACCCCTTTAGGGGCCTTTTCAGTCCGTGTAGCCCCGTCCGTTCCGCCCCCAACCGCCCCCTCCGAGCTCCCCGGTGGCGGTTTTGGTGATGAAGGGGAAACCCCCTCGAAGTCCTCTGTCCAACTGGACGTGTGCGCAAGGGCCTCCCGTAAGGTATCCTCCAGACTCCCGGGTAAAGGGTCTTTGGTGAAGAAACGCTGTGACACCCTCACAGGGGAAGGGGGGAAATGGAACAGAGACACCGACAGCCCCAAGCACAGGGAAAGGGAACGAGAGGAAAGACAACGGAAAAGCGTCTGTGAAAGCATAGCGTTGCGTGACTTTCGTGTAACAAGGCCTAAGGTGTCGTTTTAGGTTTGTTTTTAAAGAGGGGGGAGGGTTAGAGATGGATAATAAGGGGAGCTCTAGGAAAAAATGTGAGTCGGTATGTTGTCCGCCCGATGGTAAGGAAGATTCTTTACTAGTGAGGACTGTTTGGGAATTGGAGATACTAATAATGGAAAGAATACAAAATTTTACGGGTTAATGGGGTTGCATTTGACATCGGAGGGTGATAAGGTATAAAGCAGCAGGATCCAAATGTCAGTGGTCCTTTGGGATGCATCGGAATGCATAGTATTCAGCAGAAGGAAGGCATAGTAGCAGAGAAACCAATTATTAAAGAAAAAGAGAGGAATGATGAAAAATATTTAAACTGAGGATGTAAGAATATTGTGCAGAATTAAATAGAATATAAATATATATATTCACCCATTGAAACTATGTAATAGAAAATGGGAAGAATAAGATTTAATAATTGTCTGTAGTAGAGACCGCGCGAAAGCGGTGCAAAAAGGTATCATAAGCGGAAACAATAGCTTCACAAAAAGCCAAATAATGGGTTCGGGCCACACGCATTACTGCCAATTGACGGGATAATTGCAGCTTCAATTCGCTCCGAGGAGGCTTCTTTGTATCGCGCATCTCATCGTTCTCTTTTTTTTCTTGGAAATGCTATTGAATTTGTCATTAGGATCAGCTTTAAGAACATTTTCACCTAATTTACTTTCTAGAATTTTTTTGGCCATTTCAACAATGCCCGATGGCTGTAGATATTCTAAAGAATCGCCGGCACCGTAGCTCAGGATAAACAACGCATGCCGCAACCAATGCGCATCAGCTGCGCTTGTCTGATTTATTGTCGTTCTTACATTTACATTGGGGCTTTTATCAGATTGACGTATTCGGTCCATCTTCTCATTTTCAGGGGAAGCTATTGAATTATCCCCATCTGTCAATACGGGTGATGCCCCGGCCACCATCAGCTGCATATAAAGTTTTAAGGCCTCCAACCCGGTCAACGGCCTCCAAGCCTCTTTGAAGTTAAATCTTCGGGTTTCAAAACTTGTTATGGGCGCTTTCGAGCTTATCGCGGCTCCCCCTTCCTCTTCTTCATCATCGGTATAGTAGATATTATTCCCACTGTGATGGTTATGAGAGGAAAAAAAATAACCGGCAGCGGCACATTCCTCCTCCACAATGTTATTTCGCTCTTTATGAGCCTCTTCGGGATGGCATTCCTCCCCCTCCGAAATTTCCTCGTTGAATAAATCTTCCAGAATAGAATTTGCCTCCTCCGCAATATGTTCCCAGTATTGTCGAAGAGCAGCCAAAACCGGCGGCGGAAGCTGGAAGGGAAGTGGTAAAGCCGCGGCTGGATCATCCACGTCGGCTTGGCAAAAAGCGCCTAAATGATTGAAAGGCAATTTAGATATGTTTGCACCTCCCTTATTATCATTGAAAGTCGCCGCCTCCTCCTCGACGCGCTCGGTTGAGGTATTCAAGAAGCATTCCAAAAGGCGAATGAGGTGCCGTGTATTAGGCTGATCAATTTCTACCGCAAAGTACACCGCCTTTCGCCGTAAATATACTAAATAATCCTCAAGGTCGTTCTCTTTTTCGTAGGGAAGCGCCGCTGATGAATCCTCCCCCTCACGCCGCGATAAGAAATCCCCTGTATTAATGAAGGCTTTTTCGCTAATCGATATGCCCTTTTCCTGTTCCCCTTCAGGGTGGGCCGACGGATCGGTATTTTCAACTTTATCAAAAAAGAAGGCATTCGCGGCAGCCGCCATCGCCCGACCTTCAGTATTATCCAAAAGACCTAAAGAAGGCGCCGTAAAAAAGGAAAAAATACCACACGCGTCAGACGATTCCATAGTTCGTATGGGAGCCCTCATACGCTGATCGGGCAAGGCGCTCATCAAAAGGACGAGATGGGCAAAATCGGCTAATTCAGGAGTCTTTCCCTCATCCTCCTCCTTTGCAGATTCATTAAAACACGGCGCGAAACCAGAACTAGTATGGGGTGCCTTTGGAAGACTCGTTTGGCGCTTCATCGGAGGAATTTTCGCCCCATCGGTCAAGGACGTCAGTGGAATACAGGGAGCCTGAACAAAGCGGCGAAGCCATTTTGAACTGAAGTCCAAAGAAGGAAATGGAAGATAAAAATCAGAATGGCGAGCGCGTTTGCGCAATGAGGAGAATGGACGGTTCAACAACCCTCTAAAGGCGCACAAAATCTTAGAAACCGCCGCATCGGGTGAACTTTCAAGATATCGCAACTGCTCGAAAATGTGCTGCTGAAAATCCGATGGACAAGTTGTATAAAGCGATGTCGAATCCCAGTCGTTCGGCGGGAAGATCATTTTATCAGAAAATAGTAACTGCTGCCGTAAGACTTTCTGGCAAACCCACAGCGAGTCGGAAGACTCTTCATCAAGCTGTGGCCAATTGTATTTCCTGATTTTATTTCTGATCCCCTGGACATATCGCTCATCGATCTCTCGCAGAATCCTCTCCACATTCTCATGAAAAATCGAATTAGATTGCCGCAGTGCAGGACTTTCGGTGTTTAAAGAAGGCAGATGATCTTCCGCATTTGTGAGAGAAAAAGAAGACATTTTGGCAAGCATGGTTTTCCATACCAGCCCCAACTCGGCCTGTGATATCCACCCCCAAGGGGAAAGCAACTTACTGCCATAAAGCGACGTCCAAATCGTTCCGTTTTCAGATGGCAATTGATGGGGTGAAAAAGGGGAATCCGTAAAGAGTGGATCCTTTCTAGACGACCGTTTGGATAATGATTTTCTGAGCCGCAAGGGATGTCGAGTAGGGATGGATTCTGCAAGAGGGTTTTGCAGACATGCCGCCAAAGAGTCGTGAATCAGCTGATCAAGACCATTCAGTCCTCCCGGTGGCTTGACTTTGGCGTGGGTGATAGAATCCCCATCATGAGAATGATGCAGGCCCCATATAAAATCCCTCGGCACACACCAAACTCCGAAATGAAGCGAGGAAACCACAAAAGCGCTTCGAACAACTTGAACGCCGGGGGGAAAGCGAGGATGACTCTCTTCCTTCGCAAGCATCCACCTCGGTGGCGTCAAGGGAGGGGCATTTGTTTGAGAATCTCGCGGTTCAGCAGAGTAAGGTATGGGAAAAATCCGAGGATAGCCTTTGGGCGTAAAAGAGCCCCGCTTTAACCCAAAAGAATTCGCGGTGTCCATATTAGAGGACCGTTTCTTTGGATCCCTCGGCGCCGATGCTGAAGCTTCGGAATTGGCAAAGGTAGACCATAGTTGGGGTAAGGGAAAAATGGCATCCGCGGATGCGAAAAGCGCAAAGTCCTCATCGCATAACACCACTACAATCACCTTGGGGAATTCCACAGCGTCGCGTTGCGTTGATGGTTTACATTCATCCGCTGGGAGGCAACTCATTAGGGTAAAAAAACGATATCGCGCCGCCTCTATAATCGTCCGCACTCCTTTTGTTTCAACACACACTTCCTTAACAAGGATCGAGTTCGCTTTCATCAAAGGACAACCGCTTTCGGCATGCTTTAGCGTTTTACTTCCCTGCGAAATTAAATTATCAAACGTTTTACGCGATTCTTTTCCGTGTTTTCTATTGCATACGTCCCTCTCTGGTGACTCTCCACAGCGTTGTAGTTCATTTTCTATCGTATAAATATCCCCAACGTCGATGAAATACGCCGACGCTTGCCTCTTACACCCCTCTTCCTCAATGTGAGCTAAATAAACATTTTCCCACGTCCATGGATCCTTTTTCAATCCCCTTGCTGTCTTTGAACACGGTAAAAGTGCTTTAATAAAAGAATAATCGATCGTTAGCGTATTTGCAGAATATCCATCGCAGGCCCCCGCCTCGTATTGAAGGCGTTGACGAAGCAACGTGAGAAGGGTGCGATAATGGCGTAATACCGCCTCACCGGCGCGGGAATGATATCGCTCGGACACCGGACTTAACCTGTTTCCTGGTCGAGAAGAGAATTTACCATGAGTGGGGGTTTCTTTGGGATGGATTTCACCCCCTTTAGATCGCGTCGATGGGTAGGAAGGAGCCACCCACACGAGATCTCGAGCCTCCTCGGGGGTTGTAAATACAATGATGCCTTCCACAGACGGCATGAAAATCTAACAAATTCGATTTAAGAAAATAAATACGAATAACGATTAAAGATACTTCCCTCGCATAAAAAAAACAAACTTTGAAGAAGAGCTATAAGCTTCAGCTTTGCCACCCAATCCCCTTGATTTAAGCCTATTGCAGTTGCCTTTTAACAGTAAAAGTGGTAGTTTAAGTTTTTGAAATTTTCACGGGAGAAAAGCATCATACTGAACTGTAGATGCGTTAACCTGAATTTAAGAATCCCAAAATTTATCACCATTAAAAAAAAAAAAATGAATAGAAGCACGGTTTGCGATGTACCAGAATTACTTCTTGATTAAATATTAACGATGTATTACGGTATCACAAGAAAAGGACAAAAACAAATTCATCAAACAGAAGAAGCGTTAGCATCCACTTCCCTTCGCTTAGTGAAATCCAAAGATTTATTCAAGAATATAGGAACTCTGGTAGATTATGAAAAAAAATTCGTATACACGTGCGGAAAAATCTAAGTAATATTATCCCAAACAATCCTGTGGAAAGAGATGATGAATTTCAGAACGATACGTAAATCGATGTAAACAATAATGAACAAGAATCATATATATAAACATTTATTTACTAAACTTTACTTGTTGAATATTGCCTATGGTAACCTCGCGAAGTCTTTACCATATCCCAAAGGTGTTCATTTATATTGCATACAAAATTTATCCCCATTAGATTTCATTTAAATCCTAGTATAGATTTTTTTTCATCAATTTCCCATTTCCACCGGAAATATCCCATTACAGGAATGTACAAGCAGCGATTCTTTCACAGGCGGATCTAAGACAGGAGGGCCACCAATTACCGAGCAGAAAACACCCTTTTTGTCATCGTCGGAGCCCTGTTCGCCTCCTTCTTTCGGCGGCACCACTCGATTCCCTCGTACGTGCTCAAAGCGATTAAGCAATTTAGTGAGGCCCTGTTGAAGCAGTGCGGAGATGCCTTCGGGACTTTCCAAGAACGAATGTGGAATCCCAAAGTCGTCTTGGCCCTTCACGATGGGGGCTTTCTTATTCCCCATGTCCATTATCCCGAGATCTTCCGCCATGTCGTTTTGCTCCTCTAAGAAGATGTGCATCGCGCGCAGCCGGGCGCACATCATCCGGCGGAGTTGAATAATCTGCTGCCCTGTCAGGGTATCACAGGCAAAGGTCTGTTGAACCCCCATAAAAATCACTTGAAAGATGAAATAATTATAAAAATGCTTCGAAACCCCGGCCTTTTGGGCACTTCGATGCCCATCATCTCGTTCGCCTTTGGGGTCTTCACTTTTGCTTCCTTTTCCCAGAACATCGGGAAGGCGAAATACCACGCGAAATGCAAAAATTAGGGTGGCCAGATTAAAAACCGAAGGGTCGACCTGCGTCGCGAACTCCGCCCGCAGCTTTTCATACGACGTTCGAAGGGACAACGGCACGCAGACGCTCGACTCATGCCACGGGCAAACTGTGGGAATCATGAAATTCTTTTCAATATCCATTTTAATAAAAATACCCTTTCCGGCCTGATTGGAGTATCTCTGGCTTCGTTGTTTTTGATGCACATAAACCGCGCGCTGGAGGTGAGATCCGACGCAGATAAAATTCAACAAAAGTGCGGAATCATCGTACTGCTCCAGCAGCTCGTCGACGTCGATGCTTTCAGGGAGGGGAAAGAAGATGCTGACATGCTCGGTCATCTGCCGAATCACGTTCACCGTCTCAGTCAGGCGAATTCGGCTGAGAAAGTGATCCACACACCACTGTTCCTGGGCCTCCTCGGAGTACCCGCTACGCTGCATGTCCATATAACTCAAGACCGCCCCTACACAAGAGACGATATCGCTATTTAAATGCCCTTTGAAAGTTTGCATTAAATTCGAGACCTCCTTGCAGGACTTGATTTTGAGTGCCCTGTCGTAGATATCATAGGGCGTGTTAAATGGGCTCTTGACGGACTCCACCACCGAGGCGATGATGCCGAGCATGGGGATGTTGAACATCACGCCGTAGAACGCGGTGGAGGCGGATTCGATGCTGGTGTGGAGGTATGAAACGAAAAAACCCTTCAGGGTCACCTGAAAACAAGCATCCCACAGGTTCGAGGGAAGATTATCCATCGACTTCCGCGCCGCACGACCTTGGTCGTTGACCAACCCTTTCTCAGACAAATCCGGCCTCTTGGATTTAGAAGTGAAATTGGTGCGATTCATAAGCGCCTCCTGCCGCTTTTTTTCCACCTGAATATCCGAGACTAACTTCTTCCACGCATCTGAGGAGGCAATGGCATCCCGATCTTTTTGTTTAATACAGCGAATAACCTCTTGCGAGGCCAATTTATGGCTCTCGGAGATGATAAACCCGTCGTCTTGGAGGGTATCAATGCTGTGCAAAATGCTAATCACCCGTGGCTGTTCATAGCATAGCTTAAACACACTCGTAGGTGAGTTGGCAAGCTGCAAAGAGAGAAGTACAATGCTGTTCAGAACGGAGTTCGTAATACGGCTATCACTATCTCCGAGATTACAAAAATGATCGCGGTAAAGCATCGAAAAGTAAAACCCTTGTTGAACGCGCCCCACACGCCCGCAACGCTGCTGTGCATTTAACCTTCCCTCCCAAAGAAGTTCTAAAGGTGGAAATACGACACTGTAAGGGTTTTTTTCCGAAACCAATGGCCGCTTGCACATCCCGGAATCAATCGCGATGACGGCGTCCGGCAGCGTTAAACTCAGCTCGGCGATATCGGTGGCGAGGTAAACCTTCTTCTTTGTAGTAGGTTCCCGTTGAATGGCTTCTTGAATATACGAAAGATCGACCCCTGCATACCACATAATAGGATCAAGCTCATTATTCAGCTCGCTATGAATCCACTTCGCGAAGCTCTCCACGGTGGTCCTGCCAGGTAGAAAAACCAAAATACTATGATGCGGATCCAGCACCCTAGCGAGAAAGCAAAGCGACTTTTTAATCACCCCGGAGATGTTATGCAGGTGTAAGGAGTGGACGCTGTTGTAGGGGCTCACCTCTATACGCGGGCACTTTGCCCCCACAAGCTCACAAATATCCTCCATATAATATTTATGCACGGGGAACATTGGGTTTGCCTGGGTGTACTCTCCAACCGATAAATTTTTGAAAAAATCGATCCACTCCTCCACCTGCGCGGTCGCACTGCATAGGATAATCTTAAACTTATTCGGAAAGCGCTGGATCACGAGTTTTAGGAGAACAAGCATAAGCTCCACCTCGGACCCCCGTTCGTGGAATTCGTCCAGGATGATATGCGTGAACGGGATTTCCTCCGGTTTTTTCCACAACAGAAAGAGAAAAAGGGTGAAGTTGGTGACGTACATGAGGGGAGTCTGCCCGATCTCCCCGGCGCGCTCGCCTCGGACGGAGTACCCCACCACCCGGCCCACCTCGGCCTCCCCCATCAGAAGGGACACCCGCTGTGCGAGGGTGATCGTGGACGTCCGCCGGGGCTGGCAGTTCACAATCTTGGACTTCGGATTGCGCAGGTAGAGCCCTTTCGGGATCAAACTGCTCTTTCCCGTGCCCGTATCGGTCACCACGAGTGTGACGTCGTGGGCCTCGATGATATCCAGGCAGTGCTCGACGTCCAGGCTGCCGACCGTCCCGTGGGCGCTGCGGAGCTGCGCGCGGAGGTCCTCGTGGATGCCGTCGGTGTCCTCCTGCGCGGCGTACTCCTCCATAAAGCGCTGCAGGGCCGGCTTTGGGCGGTGGAGCAGGATCTCCTCCTCCTCCTCCTCGTCGTCGTCGTCGTCGTCGTCGTCCTCGATG